TAAATCATTCTATTATAAAGATACATGCACGCATATATTCACTGCAGCACGATTCACAATAGCAAGGACATGGAATCAACCCAAATGCCCATCAATCATAGACTGGATAAAGAAAATATTGTGCATATGCACTGTGGAATACCATGCAGTCATAAAAAGGAACAAGGTCATACCCCCTGCAGGGACATGGATGGAGCTGAAAGCCATTATCCTCAGCAAACTAACGCAGGAACAGAAAACCAAATACCACATATTCTCACTTATAAGTGGGAGCTGAATGGTGAGAACACATGGACACATGTAGGGCAACAACACACACTGGGGCCTGTCCAAGGGTTGGGTGTAGGAGGAGGGAGATCATGAGGAAGAATAGCTAATGGATGCTGGGCTTAATACCTAGGTGATGAGATGATCTGTGCAGCAAACTGCCATGGCACGCAGTTTACCTACGTTAACAAACCTGCACATCCTGCGCATGCGCCCTGAAGTTAAAAGTCAGAAAAAAAGAGGTTGCAGAGAAGTTATCACCTTAATTCCTTTATTCACTTCTCATATTGTCCCTCATTTTCCCTAATTTCCCTCATTTTTTTCATTTATAATATTTATTTCCTAATCTACCTTGATGACTATTTATAAGTATTCTAAAGTGAGCTTGGCTTCTCAGTATTCATCATTGTGGCTTTCATATTATATTTTCACTTCTTACTATACTTTTGCATAAGAGTTGTCTAATACGTTTTTACGGTAAATTTATTGCAAACAAAAGAGGAAATAGCTCTTAATGATAAAATTCGTATACAAATGAAGAAAAACAAAAAAAATCACTCCACTGCTTTTTAACACGACGAAAAGTGAGTTAAGAATGTCTCAAAAATCTTTAAATTTTAAAATACCGATTTATTGGTAATCGAGGTTTTCTTGGATCTGCTTCTTTAAGAAAAAAAAACCCAGCGAACTTCGGGCACTGTGACGACACCTAGCTAAATTCACTCGAAACGTAGTCAAACGTCACCAAGGCCCACCTCCGCGGCCCTAGAAACCGCTCTCTGGGAACAAGCTAGGAACTTTGATTTTGTTAGCCTTGCCCCTCTGAGCCCTTCACCAAACTCCCGCGCGGGGGCGCCCGCCCCGCCACCCGCCGGGGCTCAGCACGCGGTGTTCTTCCAGCCAAGAGCCCCGTCATTGGTGGGCGCCGACCCCCAAGCCGATCTCGCCTAATTAAATTACAGATATCCGTATTCAAAAGAAAGGTGGCGGGGGCGGGGAGGACACTCCCTCTTTTCTGTTCTCACACCACAGCCGATTCCCAGGTTTTGGGAAACGCCACAGGAAGCGGAAATGGTCTCTCCCTGGCCGGCGCGCGCGCCGGGTTGCATCACCCGCCTCGCACTGGGGAGGGGGTGGGGTATGATGGCTGCCCTCAGTATTGCCTGCACAAATATCTACCAGGGTTGCAACTAATAGCTCCCGCAACTTTGCACCATGTTTTCCAGTAAGCCTACCGACAGGCACTGTGCAGATTCAAGCAGAGAGACATCCAAGCAGTGAGGCCGCTGTTGCACTGACCACCCTAAGCCCCTAGTCGGCCTTTCCGCGCCGGCTTCCTCGCCCCGCACTAGGACCCCTGCAGCCGATCAGGCGGCAGCCAGGGCAATTTCCTTCCTCTTTTGGCAAGATGGCGGGAGGAGAAGCTGGAGTGACTTTGGGGCAGCCGCATCTTTCGCGCCAGGATCTCACCACCTTGGTGAGGTTTCGCTTGGGGAGGATGCAGAGTGAACTCGGGAGTGGAGTTGACCGATCCTCCCGGGTGGCATTGGGATTAGTGTCGGGTTGTCGGGAGCATGGGTCTGGAGGGAGACCTGGAGCCGGGCGCCCTAAGCCATGCTTGCGCCGCCTGTACCCAGGGCGGTCCACAATCAAGGTGCAGGGATGTACGGTCTTGGAACTTAGAACTTCTGGAGGATTCGGCTGGAAAGTCTTAATGTTGATTGTCATGGTTTCAGCTTCTGAACGTCTGGGAAAGGGGGTGTCTTGTCTGCGTTACTTTTAGTGCTAATGTTCCCAAGATTGGGAGGCCTCTGACCTCTAGATATCCCATAGTTGTATGGACGTGGAGGTGTAGTCTGTTTTGTAATGATGCAGGGCTCTTACGGCTTCCCAGCCATAGGAGTACAAGGTTACTGATCAGTGAAAGGCGCTTTACAAGTAGAAGAAAACTATGCAGATGGTGGTGAGACGTAGATTGCAAATGTAAAGTCAAAGGAAAAGTTCTGATTTGTTTTATGTGCAGTGTTTTAAAATATTTCATTGCAGGATGTTACCACGTTGACGCCACTTTCACACGAAGTTATCAGCAGACAGGCCACAATTAATATAGGTAAGAGTAACTTAAGAGATCTGACTTGTTTGATCTCCAGCAATGAATTTTGTCCTCACTTTTTGTGTGATTACCTGAATATGAGGATTCAGATATTCAAGAAATAGGTAGTAAGTCCCTGTGAATAAAGCACCTGCTAGATTTTTTGCAGGGTGGGGGGAAGCCCAAAGAATGCTGCTCATGTCTAGCTTACAGACTTGGTAAGAAGAAAAAATGGAGACATAGACATTTAATAGCATAGGCAGTGTGTAGTCATACGTATCAGAAATTTAAGGGAGAGGTGAAAATGTGGCAATACTTGCCACACAGGATTATTTAAAGGGCAGAATTTATGAAAGTTTTATTTGATGTACAAGCTGTGATTAAGTCGATTTTTCTTTTCTTAATTGACGCCTAGAACTTTAGAAAAGACATTATGTTGACTGAGTGTAAATTTTGGACATTTTGAGTTTGTACAAACAGCACAGTTAAAAAGCCTCCACCATGAGGCTTTTAAAAAGTTACACCATTGCAGTTGTTAAACTCGGGTTTCCTTATTTGTTCACAAATCCCTTTTTGTTGCGTTAGGGCCCATCATACCTGTTTAATCTGGAAATGCTGGAAGATTCCTTAATATATAGAATTCTGGCCTGGTGCAGTGGCTTATACCTGTAATCCCAGCACTTTGGGAAGCCAAGGCAGGTGGATCACTTGAGCCCAGGAGACCAGCCTGGGCAACATAGCTATCTCTACAAAAAATGCAAAAAATTAGCCGTGCATGGAGATGCATGACTGTAGTCCCTGCGACTAAGTAGGCTGAGGTGGGAGGATCACTTGAGCCCAGGTGGTTGAGGTTGCAGTGAGCTGTGATCAGGCCAATGCACTCCAGCCTGGGCAGCAGCAGGAGATCCTGTCTGGCCCAGAGTATGTTTTTAAAATAAAGTTGTTAGTTACATGGAAGGTTCTGTTCAGTTCTATATGAGAGCTATGGATATATGGAAGAGGAAAAATTGAAGTCACTGTTGGTTCCATGTTGATATTTACAGTGAGTTATGGCTTTGGTTTTTTTTTTCTTTTTGAGATGGAGTCTTGCTGTGTCGCCAGGCTGGAGTGCAGTGGCGTGATCTCTGCTCACTGTAACCTCTGCCTCCTGGGTTCAAGCGATTCTCCTGCCTCAGCCTCCTGAGTAGCTGGGACTACAGGTGTGCGCCACCATGCCCAGCTAATTTTTGTATTTTTAGTAGAAACGGGGTTTTACTATGTTGGCCAGGATGGTCTCGATTTCTTGACCTCATGATCTCCCCACCTCAGCCTCCCAAAGTGCTGGGATTACAGGTATGAGCCACCGTGCCTGGCCAGCTGTGGGTTTTCTACTCTTAACACTATTTGAAAAAATATTTGGTGTGTAATTAAATACACAGGAATTAATTTTTTTGTACTTTGTCCGTAGGTACAATTGGTCATGTAGCTCATGGGAAATCCACAGTTGTCAAAGCTATTTCTGGAGTTCACACGGTCAGGTTCAAAAATGAACTAGAAAGAAATATTACAATCAAGCTTGGATATGCTAATGCTAAGGTGAGCTGGGTACTGTGGAACAAGGAAGTATTTAATTGTTGTGCAGATAACAAATCAAAATCTTTTTAATTGAAATTTTAGATATATAAACTTGATGACCCAAGTTGCCCTCGGCCAGAATGTTATAGATCTTGTGGGAGCAGTACACCTGATGAGTTTCCTACGGATATTCCAGGGACCAAAGGGAACTTCAAATTAGTCAGGTGACTTCTTTTTTGCTAAACACACTACTATGTTTTATTGTCTTCTGTTTTGTGCTTTTTGAAATATTGAGGTATTAAACAATGAGCTTAATTGCTCAATGGTTTTGTTTTTCAGTTTTATGTTTTTATGGCAAATCTGAAAAGTCAAGCATGTAAATCTAAGTTAAAATACTTACAGGCAGTTTCTCCAAACTAAAAGTATCATGCAAACAAAATGGAGAAACAACTCATTGGATTGAGGGGATTCTTTTTCTAGGCTTCCTGAGTTTCTTTTAAACAGTGCTGTTTTTGTATATTAAATAGGAGAGGAACAGAGCCATTTCTAATCACTTCTCTAAAACACTTGAACTTGTTCCCCATCTATTTTCTGAATATGGTTGCATATCTGGTTTTTTATCAGAGGATACTGACATCTATCTAGTAATGTTTCTGGGGACTAGAGATGCGCTGCAGGGAATTTTTAGATCAGGAGCAGGACTGGGATCAGGGAGAGACAAGTGAGGCCTTCACCTCATGCCCAAAATTTAAGTGGGCCTGGGGGTGGCAGGTATGCCAAAAAACTCAGTGATTAGAATAAATTATTTGTTTGTTTTGAGGTGGAGTCTTGGCTCTGTCACCCAGGCTGGAGTGCAGTGGCGCAATCTTGGCTCATCCAACCTCCACCTCTGGTTCAAGTCATTCTCCTGTCTCAGCCTCTTGAGTAGCTGGGATTACAGGCACACACCGCCATGCCCAGCTAATATTTTATATTTTAGTAGAGACGGGCTTTCACTGTGTTGCCCAGGCTCGTCTCGAACTCCTGAGCTCAGGTAATCCACCCGACTCGGCCTCCCAAAGCGTAGGATCACAGGTGTGAGCCACTGCACCCAGCCAGGATAAATATTTTAATATAGTATCTTTTTTGATATTAATGCAAAGAAAATGTGATAAACAGAATATCAAAAATATAAATAAGGGCAGACTCAGTATTAATGAATTTTTTCCCCTCTTGCTTCAGTATCACTTTATGGCTCATCATGGCATTGTAATTTGTTCATGACATTTTTTCATTAATTTTGATTTTTTAAAAATATTGAATATAGGCCGGGCGCGGTGGCTCAAGCCTGTAATCCCAGCACTTTGGGAGGCCGAGGCGGGTGGATCACGAGGTCAAGAGATCGAGACCATCCTGGTCAACATGGTGAAACCCCGTCTCTAC